CGTGATAAAGCGTTATATCCAAAGCAAGGGTTAGTAAGGACCTTTAAGGCCATCCATGGCCTTGCCCCCTCCTACTTCTCTGACCTGCTGACTCCCTACCAACCTGCCCGCTCCCTCCGTTCATCAGGCACCAGCCTGCTCCATGTCGCCTGCCCAACCCGTCCTACCATCGGTGGCCGGGCTTTCAGCCTCTCTGCCCCCACACTCTGGAACTCCGTCCCAAAGTCCCTTGGACTCGCTTCCTCCCTCGCATCCTTCAAGGCCAGTCTCAAGAACCTTCTCTTCAACCGTGCCTTTGGTCTCCCTCCCATCTCTCTGCCTTCCCTCACCCCTACACCACCCCTCCCCCATGCTCGGGCCCCGACACCTCACTGTTCAGCGCTTTGGGACATCCTCTCGACATGAAAGACACTCTATAAATGTGATTTCGTTGTTGTATTATTATATATTGTGCAAAACTATAATCAAATTCTCCCTTTTACTGCCTCGGTGGAGTTAGGGCTGCCTCCTGCACACATCAAGCTGTTTGCTTTTGAGTGTGAAGTGTCCTCTATGTTTAACATTGTTCAATTCACAAGCTTTTGAACTTGTTGGGAGTTCATGGGAATCGCCCTTTATTATTATTAATAAATCTATTTAATACTAATGAATGTATTAGAACATAAGAAATGCTAGATGAAAAAAAAACAAGGTCCATCTAGTTCGCCTTCCACCTTCCTGTACTATATCCCATAATGTTATTTCCTAAAAGAAAAATAAGATGAATTTATTTTTTATCATATTATTAATGACAAATAATAATAATCCTTGCATTTGGTAAAGCCCTTCATGTCACGAGGAACAGTGTGCAAATCAGAGAGTTGAAACCGATAAACACAGCTACAAAGTCAGTGTATTTGGCCGTCATATAAGTACTTATCAGCGCAGTAAAACAGGAAATCCTTCGGTGGAGAAAAGAGCTGAAGAAACAGGACATTGGCGCAGTTTTACTTCGTCTTTACAGAAGCTTGGAGGATCTCCTGGTGTGGCAATCATTGCCTGATTTGAATCTACGTCTAAAGTTGACTTTTTTCCCCCCCTGACTACATGGGTTTAATTGCTGTGGAATTCCTACCTGCGGAATTCACTCCACCGGGTCTGGCCTCCTCCTTGTCCCCCGAATCCTCCGCTCCACCATCAGCGGCCGTGTCTTCAGCCACTAACCCCCGAGGCTCTGGAACTCCCTTCCTCTCTCCCTTCGCCTCACTCCCTCTTTTCCTATTTTCAGGTCTCTGCTGAAGATCTTTCTTTGGGCAGCGCCTTTGGTCGCCTTCCCCCCCCCCCCCCCGCCCCTTCACCCCCTGGCTCGGCCCCGGGATCCGTTACTGTGAAGCGCTCTGAGACGCCGTCCGGCGTGGAGGGCGCTATGTAAATCCAAGTTGTTGCTGTTGTTTTTGTTGCCTCTTGATAATCTGCTGAGCTATGGCTAACTCAGGATACAACGTAAATCGGGTTATAGATGTTTCTTGAGGGAACTGATGTTAGAATGCACAAATATTGTGGAAGATTGCTTGATTGACTTTAGTATTTTTGATTGTGCTTACGGTCACCTCCCTCCCTCCCTCCCTCCCTCTCCCCCTGGCTCGGGTCAGACGTTGCCACTGTTAAGCGCTCTAGGACGCCAAACGCAAGTTGTTGTTGTTGTATTCAGGCTGTCTCTGAGCAGCCTTTTTCCCCAGGAGTTAGAGAGGGTGGGATAAAGTCTAGGTGTTGTGAAGACTGAAAGGCAGTCAGCTCAATGACATAAATGCTTTCTTCTCATTCCTATATTCTAAACTCCCCGTAAGGCAAACGTGAGTAAGACCGAACATTGCTCTATTTAAAAATCGGACAGTAAAACGGGAATAAGTTTGCAAAAAAAAAAGGACTTGCAAACTTTTGAATAGTTTCTTTAAAAGCGCCCGACCCAATAAGCACACTTGATTTTTTTTTTGTCATTTCATTTTCAAACCCATTTAGATGTCGCCAATACCCCTTTAAGAGGAAATGACTGGATCAGAAGCAGCTCAGACTGAAGTGGAGTAACTTGCATTCAGCCTTAAAGTGCACATCTTGGCGGAGAGACAAAAGGAAGCTTGTTGTGATTGTGTGATTAAGGAAACTCTATCAAGCGTGTAATTGGAACAGAAAAGATCAACCCAGAAATATTTTACAACCAGGATTTTTTTCATGAATGGCAATGGTTGAAATCCTCGCGACTGTGTGATGATTTCAGACGCTGCTTCTCAACACGTTGAGAGTCCTGCGAAAAAATATCCCCAATGCCCTGTGTGAGTCACTGTTTTGCTGGCTATCGGGCACTGTAAAAGTAACACGGCAAAAAAAAACAAAGGACCCGGAAACCCATTGGAAAGTGGATACAGGAGAAGCGAATAGAGTGATAAAGATATGGGAGAGCGGGGAGGCTCAGGTTGAGCATAAATCCCGACCCAGACTAGTTGGGTCAAATAAATAGCGATAATAATAAATATTTTTTGCCTTTGGTATAGCGCCTTTCACTTCGGGAGGACAACAGAAAGAGCTTCACAGAATTTTAGTGTAAAGCCCTGTAGTGTATTGGTTAGAGCACTCACTTCGCAAGCGAGGTGACCCAGGTTTGATTCCTGGACAGGGTGAAATCTTAGGCAAGTTTCCTTACTCCACACGCCTCTGTTTACCTAGCAGTAAGTAAGTTGGTCGATTGGCGGATGGCCTTCTGGAGCAATAATCCCTTTTTAAAAAAAAGTTTGGCTACTCAATCCACGACTGTTTGTTGGACGCTGCTGTGCACGATTGGCTGCCACATTTCGCCCCAAAAATATACAATCAATTCACTTTACAGCATATTCTGTGAAGCGCTTTGAGACGTCTGGAAGGCGTGATAAGGTGCTCTGTCAAACGTAAGGCATGTTATTATAAAGTGTAGTGGCTGTGTATTTTGCAAGTGAAAATGGTCTATTTTCATAATTTACAGATGATATAATTCTACGAATAAGAAATAAAGGAGGAAAAAGTCGTACGAGGAAGAACATAAAAACTTTTATAACAAGAACTTCTTGTCCAGATGGTCTGCATCTGATTCGTTCAAACTCACTTTTGCATTTGATGTAGCACCTTATCACTTCAAAACGTCTCAAATGGTACAAAGGCAAACACACAGCAACTAATCTGTCCTTGCAACCTCCTGTAGGCATTAACAAGATCAATTAATTAACGAGATATTTGGGAGTGAATTTGTTATAAATATGTGTCAGCAGAGACGGTCCCTATTTCCTCTCGCAGTGCAGCTCACGTTGCTGCTGCTGTTTATGTACAGTCGTCTTTATTATCAGCAATTTATTGCTTCAAGTGACACAAGCTGCTGATAGCGCAGGCTATAAAGTAAACCAGAAACTTGTGTTTATGGGCCGAGCTGATGTTGGACTGAAGGGCAAGCGCTTGGCAAAGCGAAAATATTTTGGTTTTTGAAGACAATCCCACAGTACAAGGTACAACATGATCACTCAATCCACCACTTATTGTGAGACGCTGATGTGAGCAATTGGCTGCCGTGTTTAGCCCACAAAATACACAGTCAATCCACTTTGCAATATATTCTGCGAAGTGCTTTGAGACGTCTCAACAATGTGATAAGGCGCAGGCAAGGAATATTATTATTACACTAGCAATCTCTTTTAAGATAGGCATTCATGATATGGTTGAACAAGGTGTTTATTGTACTGAATAGGCACAGGTTCAAGTGATGGCCGGTATGGAAATGGCCATAATGGGGAACTCTTCTGAGGTTGAGGTTGAGTGACCTTGTGCCAGTGTAGAGGGGCCTATACTCTCTAACTAACGTGACCTGTCAAATGTTTGATGGGACAGTGTAGTGGGAGTTTTGCTCTGTATCTGATCCACGCTGTAAGCCTGTAACCAACAGTTTAAATGGCCAGATGCTATTCTGATTCCTGAGTCTGGTAATAATAATAATAATCCTTGCATTTGATACAGCGCCTTTTCACATCTTCGAGATATCTCAAAGCGCTTCACAGAATATACTGTGCATCTTGTTGGCCAAACTTGGCAGCCAATTGCACACAGCAGAGTCCCACAAACAGTCGTGGATTGAAGTGACCAATTTATTATTATTATTTTTTGGGGAGGAATTATTACCCCCAGAAAAGCAATCCGCCAATCGACTAATAACCGGGTTCCTACTTACTGCTCGGTCAACAGAGGCGCGTGGAGTAAGGAAACTTGCCCAACGGTATAAGTCGTCCATGTACCCGAATCCCATTCAGTTTCCTACCAAAAAACACTCAATTTCTTTGCACTCGTCGTAATTTATAAATCGGATAAACGGCTAAATCACAAATGGGATCTCGGTCCTAAATCCTACGCCAATCATCCCTTAACTCGTATCCTGACACATCAAAACATTCTCTTGAGAGACAACTGTGAGAGACTCTTAGTTCACGTGAGCAGAGATTTAAAGGTGGTTGGGGTGGTGGGGTGAGGGGGGTGGGGGGGGAGAGAGAGAAACCCTTTGAATGCGATCGCCTTGATCTTATAAGATCTCTCTGCATCTTATAATGTAAACACATCACTGGGGCCAAATCCCTCGCAGGCAAATCAGTAAGAACTGTGGATCGAGTCCAAACACAATAACATAAAGGAAATAAAGATGTATTCACAGAGAGAGAGAGGGAGAGAGAGAGAGAGAGAGAGTGGGGGGAAGGAGGGAGAGGGGGGGGGGGGTGGGGAGAGAGAAGGAGGGAGAGAGAGAGAGAGAGAGAGAGAAGGGGGGGGGAGAGGGAGAGACTGCCATTGATGGCAAGTGGGACAAATGTTCCTCCCTTCATGCTGCAGAACCAATAGAACCAGTAGTTGAGGTCGAGCCTTCCACTCGCCTCTTTATTCACATAGGTCCCTGTGTGTCATGTGAGCGATGAATATAGTAACTCTACACACACACACATTACATTACACACACACACATACATTACATTACACACATACACACACACACACACACTGCACTGCACTGCGCTCCGATTGCAACAGCCAGCAGTCAAGGGCAAATTCTTCCCTGCAGGTAGGTCGCTCGTGTAAGATGTGTTTTATTTAGATATAAAGCTGGAGACGTGTGTGTGTGTGTATGTATGTATGTGTGTGTATGTGTGTGTCTGTCTGTGTGTGTGTGTGCCTGTGTGTATGTGTGTGGGTGTGTCTGTCTGTCTGTGTGTATGTGTGTGGGTGTGTGTGTCTGTCTGTGTATGTGTGTCTGTCTGTATGTGTGTGTGTGGGTGTGTCTGTCTGTCTGTGTGTATGTGTGTGTGGGTGTGTGTGTCTGTCTGTGTGTGTGTGTCTGTCTGTATGTGTGTGTGTGTGTGTGTGTCTGTGTGTGTGTGTGTGTGTATGTGTGTGTGTCTGTCTGTGGGTGTGTGTGTGTGTGTGTCTGTGTGTGTGAGTGTGTGTGTGAGTGTGTGTGGGGGGGGGGGGGCGGTGTATTTGTATGTGTGTGTCAGAGTCTCCCGATCGCTGTCAGGTTTAAACACCCGTCAATGTGCTGTTGGTGGCGGTGTTTATCGGTGGGACACAATGTATCCAAAATTCTATCCAAAGCGAATCCAAAATGTATCGAAAATGTATCCAAACTGTATCCAAATTGTATCGACTGAGGATGTATCTCAGTCACTTGTTTTACTCTCTCTCTCTCATGAGATTAACACTGAAAGGGGGGGTGTGGGGGGGGGGGGAGCAGAGGGGGCAGAGAGAGAGGGGGTGGGGGGGGTGGGGGGGAGCAGAGGGGGCAGAGAGAGAGGGGGTGGGGGGGGTGTGGGGGGGGAGCAGAGGGGGGCAGAGAGAGAGGGGGTGGGTTGTGGGGGGGGAGCAGGGGGCAGAAGAGAGGGGGTGGGGGGGTGTGGGGGGGGGGAGCAGAGGGGGGCAGAGAGAGAGGGGGTGTGGGGGGAGCAGAGGGGGGCAGAGAGAGAGGAGGTGTGGGGGAGCAGAGGGGGCAGAGAGAGAGGGGGTGGCGGGTGTGGGGGGGCAGAGAGAGAGGGGTGGGGGTGTGTTGGGGGAGCAGAGGGCAGAGAGAGAGGGTGTGGGGGGTGTGGGGGGAGCAGAGGGGGCAGAGAGAGGGGGTGGGGGTGTGTGTGGGGGGGAGCAGGGGGGCAGAGAGAGAGGGGGTGGGGGGTGTGGGGGAGCAGAGGGGGGCAGAGAGAGAGGGGGGTGGGGGGTGTGGGGGGGAGCAGAGGGGGGCAGAGAGAGAGGGGTTGGGGGGGGGAGCAGAGGGGGCAGAGAGAGAGGGTGTGGGGGAGCAGAGGGGGGCAGGAGAGAGGGGTGGGGGGTGTGGTGGGGGGGCAGAGAGAGAGGGGTGGGGGTGTGTGGGGGGGGCAGAGAGAGGGGGTGTGGGGTGTGTGGGGGGGGGGAGCAGAGGGGGCAGAGAGAGAGGGGGTGGGGGGGGTGTGGAGAGACCAATGCAATATGTGCAGCATATGTCAGGAGAGGGAGAGAGAGTGAGTGAGTGAGAGAGAGAGAGAGAGAGAGATGAGGGTTTTCACACACAACACTGGTGTGTGTGAGAGTGAGTGAGGTGAGTGAGTGTGTAAATGTGTGTAAGAGCTGAATTGTAATGTTGACATTGTCGTCCCAAGGTTACTGTCGGTCAAATGGATTTAAGGGGCCAGTTTTGGGGGAGGGGGTGGGGGGGGGGGGGTGGGGGAGAGAGAGACTCGTGACTCCTGGAAGAGGGGGAGAGAGAGAGAGAGAGGGAGAGAAAGAGGGAGGAACTTGGGAACATAAGGAAACTGGGTTTTTTTTATATAAAAAATTATAATGGCAAAACAATCCCCTCGATTCATGGGGAAGGGAAACATTTTCAAGGCGAGCAGTAGGGAATTTGCAGCCACGAGTTACTTGGGGCTAATCCGACCAACTGGAAATCCACACACACACACACACACACATATATATATATATTATCTGTACTATATATTGGCTCAATACTGGGTTTGCAATCAGAATATTCCGATCTATCAATCGTATCTTTCTGTTTGTGCGTCGAGTGGTCTATTTTGGATGTGTTATGGGTCTACTTTTTTTATTGTTAATATTATATAATATATGTGTGTGTGTATATATATATATGTGTGTGTGTGTGTGTGTATATATATAAAGAAGTGACTTGCTGATCCACTCAGATCGCTCACATCACATCACATCACACACACACACCAAAAAATATACCCACAGAGGGGACGATTTTTCTGAGCGAATCTGTAACTGTTTGCGTTGGTGAGAGAGTTTTCCACTGATTTCTTTTTTTGTTGGAGCAAAATATATCCTTTTTAAGGACGATGCAGTCTTTTGCGACGTTTCTAACCGATGTACTGTACTTTGTGCAAAATGCACTGTCTCCCCCTCTCTCTCCCTCTCTCTCTCTCTCTCTCTCTCTCTTTAACCCTTTAATTTGGGGTTTATAATGAATTAAACGCACGTTACGTGTGATATAAAACATTTTTATATATTAAAAAAAAGTGGCTTCATTCTGAATGGGGAGAGAGTTGGGGTTAGTTGTGCAAAGTTCCTTCTTTGCTGGTGAATGACCGGGGTTTGGAGTGTGTTAGACCCGATGCAATGACCTCCAGTCTCGAGTCGATGTCTGTTTGCTCGACATTCAGTTTAAAGTCACCTTTTGCTGGTCAGGACCGAACCGTGTTAACCCTCTGAGAGCTTTAATTTGCATTAGGTCCAGGCAAATTTGTTCATGTCTGGATGCACACGAAGCCAGTTGCCTCCAGTCCTCATCTCTATGATAATAATAATAATAATAATCCTTGCATCTGATATAGCGCCTTATCATGTCGTTGAGACGTCTTAAAGCTCTTGCGACACCTGCAAGACATCTTGCAGTTGTTGCTGGTCAGGATGGGCCCTGTTACTTACACTGCTGCCAATCCAGGATGGAAAATATGTTGCTCTCGCAGATGAAAGTCACCGGATCTTAGTCCAGATGAAATGTGTATCATTAAGGACATTGGTGTGTTGATTGTGGGACAAGAGACTGTTGTTGTTAAAGTCTGTGACTTTACCAACAACAACAACAAATTGCATTTGTATGGCACATTTTGCTTCAGGAGGAAGTACCAAGGCGCTGGATTCGCAGTCAGGCATTCACCTGAGCTGGTGGCTGGGATCAGGAGGCGTGTAAAGGGGGAGAGGGGAGGGTGGGAGGGTGACCGAAGGCATGATCGAAGAGGAGGATCTTGAGATGGGTCTTGAACCCACACTTAGAATCATAACCCAACGCACGCTGACCTGTGAAATTTTACACACGAGTCATATGTGTAAGTGTATGCACGTGTGTTTGTATGTGTTTGCGCGCGTGTGTGCTTTCTTGATGGTGAGCCAGGAAAACTAGGAGGTGGGTTGAGGCTGAGCCAAACTTGTTTTTACGTCAGGAAACTTAGTAGAGCAGCAAATGAAGGCGTTCTTTCCATCAGTGTGGGCTGGTGTGAAGCAAACGCAAGTCCCATTACAGATTATTATTACAGAAACAGCTTGCGGACTGCCCGAGCCGGTTTTTCCCACGAAAAAATGTTTTTTTCTCAATTCGAGGAGTTCAAGTTAAACCACTTCTGCGTGCCCGCCTGGCTGATGTGATTAATGTCAAACTTGCGGAAAGTTTTTTTTTCCCTAATGACAATCCTAATCTCGCTCTCACTGTCACAGGGTTGTCCACATCTGCGTATTGCTTAAAGCAGAGGCACTTACATGTGTGTGTGTGTGTGTGTGTGTGTGTGGTGGCTGGGAGGGGGGGGGGGGTGAGAGGGAGAAAAAATGGGTATGTTCCACCGGTGACTGGCATTTCCTCAACATGGGATCACTTGCTCCGCAGAACACACAAGAGAGGGATCGAATGACAGGCTGCCTTGCCTTGCGCTCGAGTCAGAGTCACTGAGAAAGAAACACAGAGACATTGGGAAGCGAACTGCTTGTAAATCATTTGGTTCACCTTGACCTACATAAGGATCTCGAACTGCTGTGTTTGAGAAGCTCCTCAAAAGGAGTTCGCGTGTGAAATCCAGAGCAGCTAAATGCGTGTTTTTTAAGGAGAAAGGTTCTCAGTGCAAGACGCCAACAGCAAGGCTGAAACGATCAGAGAGGATGTGATGAAATGGGCCTGAGGTCACACCAAGTGTTTGATTTCAACAGCCTGCGAGATAACGAACTGAGCAATTAATTAAAAGATCGATGGTTGAGTGCATAGGAATCTGCTACCTTATGTTTTGTGTTTTTAACAGCACAGCTGCTGTTAAATGGTTGTGCTCTTTTCAGTCACGTTAGTTCCTGTGTTAGCATTCCTCGAGCGTGTGATGCAATCTCTGACCCAGAGATTTTGCACGGTGATGGGTTTCGCGAGCGTGTCAAGAGTTTTAACACAAAAGTTTTAAAAAGAAGTACAGTAGCTTTGGGCCCTTCTATAAAGCAGGTGAGTATTAAAGGAGCCAGGAGATACTTAAAGGGGCAGTGTTTCCATGACAAATTAAACCTCCGAGTACTACATTTCGAGCCTTGTCAGTCTGAGCAAACGTCTCATGTTTGTAAAGAAACGAGCAGGGAAAAGTATTGGGTTCTTTCACCAAACCCACTCGACCCGTGCGTCCTGTGAAGCCCTTCGAGACCTCTCAATGACGTGATAAGGCTCTATATATCGAGTGCAAGGATTATTTTTATTATCATTAATAATTCGCAGGCCGTTCGCAAGCGCTCCAGGGCGTGCAGGGTTAATGGCAATGCGGTAGAATTCTTTCAGACAGGCGGTTTAATGGTTACAGTCGATAAATACCAGATGACAGGCAGTGCGTTCGGGATCGGACTTTAATCCGTTAAAGGCCGTGCGCTAGGAAGGGTTAGCAAATCTTTGGACAGTTATTCTGTTTGATCATTGGCACGGCCAAGATTTACAGCTGAAACCGAAGTGGCCCAGATCGGGGAGCTAAAATAAAAGCCCTTCATCAGACCGCACTGGGCTGGCCGGCTTCCTCCTTCAGCAGCTCTCAGAACCAGCTCGGTCGATTCCCGTCTCCCTCTCGGCCACCGCGCTTCCTCTCCTTAATCGCCGTCGAACCGGGAATTTTTGACCGCATCTTAATTTTTCCGGATTGGTTCCGATTCCGCCCACGTTTAACGCACCGGGGGTGGCTCCCGAGCGGAACATCGTCGCACCTGGAGCCGGGGTGTAGTTTGGGATTCAGACCGCAAGAAAGTCTGGAAAGAGCAAAGCCGTCTCACCACGACAGGCCGACTTGCCCGGTTCGCGCGAAGCCAAAGTATGTCCCTGTGAAATGCTCTGAGACGTCTCGAGGATGCGATGAGGCGTTGCATCAAGTGCAAAGATTATTATTATTATTATTAGCGTTGTTATTAAGAGTTTTGAAATCAAATCTAAACGGTGTCTCTGTTTATCAGGAGAAACTTTGGTGCGTTGCTCAGGTGGATTTGGACGCAGAGGCAGCAGGGCGGGCCGCTGAACCACCTTGCTCGTGACCTCTGTTGGCCAAGGGAAATTCTTCCAAGAAGGAGCCAGGGATGGTGGATCACCTGCTCCCTCATGGGGAAAGTTTCCATCCCATGGGTTTGCCGGTGGCTTACCTGAACGAGATGGTGATGGACAACAGGAGTTACCAGACCCTCCCGTCCCCACTGTCTGAGGATGACAGCGACTGCTCCAGTTCGCGTTCCTGCTCCAGCCCAGACTCCTTGGTCCTCAGCTCCAGCTACAGGAGCACGTCAAGCGCGGAGAGCGGAGAGAGCATCATAGATTTCCTGCTCTCCCAGGCCTCCCTAGGGAACATCCCGGCTCCTTGTTGGGACCGGAAGGAAAATCAATTTGTCGTCAAGGAAGAGAACCTGGAGCTTCCTGATTTTGCGACGGAGATGGAAGATCTGGTGGGGCCTTTCCAGCCCACTCTGGAAGAGATCGAGGAGTTTCTGGAAGAGAACATGGAGATGGAGTTAAAGGGCGAGCACCAACATATCGTGCACGGCGATCAGGGGTTGGCCACCGCCGTGCAGGGTAAAGACCAAAGCAAACACCGCAGTGCGGAGTGTGACAATCCCAAAAACAACTCGGCGGACGAAGCCAGTGAGGCCTCGAGGGCCGAGGGAGGTTTCCCGCTCATTCTCCAGCTCCAGGAGGTCAAGCAAGAGCAGGGCAGTGGTGTCAGTCCGCAAGCGCAGGGGGATATTAAAATCGCTCAGCTGGTGGTGAACATTCAGGGCCAGATGTTCACTCTGGTCCCTCAATTTGTACAGTCCTCCAACTTGAACTCCTCGCGACAGTTTGTAAGGATCGCGCCCATCCCCATCGCCGCCAAACCCTCGGGGGAGGGGGCGGCTGACGGCACGCAGAGTCCCGGGTGTTCCACGCTCATCAGCCAGAAGTTTCCGAAGGGCACGCCGGCCGAGCTGATCAAGATGCACAAGTGCACGTTTCCGGAATGCAACAAGATGTACACCAAAAGCAGTCACTTGAAAGCCCACTTGAGGAGGCACACGGGAGAGAAACCCTTTGCCTGCACTTGGCCAGGGTGCGGCTGGAGGTGAGTTGAGCACGCCCTCTCACTTTATAGTAAATAAATAATAATAATAATAATAATCCTTGCGTTTGATACAGCGCCTTATCATGTAGCCGAGACATCTCAAAGCGCTTCGCAGGGTATCCCGTACAGTGGCGGTGACTGTGGGTGAAATGCGGCAGGCAGTTTGCGCGCAGCAATGTCCCACGCGCGGCCATGGAGGGATCGAACGATTTTATCTGGGGGATCGTTTAGCCACGACACCAGGAGACAGAAACTCCCTTCTCTTTTCGAGTGACCCATCCATTTGGGCTGGGGACGAACCCAGGTCCCAGAAGTGAATGGAGTACTGTAATTCAATCAGGGAACTGTAAATCAATAATAATAATCCTTGCATTTGGTTTAGCACCTTATCATGTCATTGAGACGCCTCAAAGCGCTTCACAGGATGCACTGCAAAGTAGATTGGACTCTGTCATCTGTGGGTGAAACACGGCAGCCAGTTTTGCGCTCAGCAATGTCCCACAAACAGCTATGGAGTGAGGGGCAATTTTAGTTTGAGGATTGTTGGCCAGGACACCAGGAAAAACTCTTCTCTTTTGGAGTAGTGCCACGGGATCTTTAAGGTCCACCTGAACAGGCAGACGGGATCTGGGTTTAACATCTCAATCGAAGGATGGCACCTCCAACAATGCAACACATCCCCAGCAATTCATTGGTGTGTCAGCTTAGACTGTGTAAACGTCCAAGGGCCGACGTGGGGCTTGAACCCACAATCTTCTGACTCAGAGATGATAGAGCTACCACTGAGCAAGGCTGACACACATAGACATGACATTTGCAAGAGAATCGGATAAACGTTTGAAGAGGAAGAATAAAAGAGAGCATGGGGAAAGAGGCAAGATGAGAGTATTGTCGTTAGCTTCAGTTGGTGAGTTGGCACGGATCAGCCTCAAAGGGCTGAACAGCCTCCTGTGCTGTTATTTCTATGATTCCATCAACCGCACCATTGGGTCAATGGCCCACGATGACATCTATGTGATACACATTGAAGAAAATATTCCAAACCATCCCCTCCACGTTTTTTGTTTGCATGTTAGTAATAGAACATGTTCCCATAGGCCAGCATGGCTTGGCTCACGGGAAGAGTAAAGATTTCGTTACCTTACCCCAATGCATCCTTGGCTAATCCTCAGAAGAGAGCACATGGGTGTCTATGTCTATGTCATTTTCAACCTCATTTGGCTCCTCCGTAGTAAAATTACTAAAGTAGTGTTGAATTATTGTACTGCGGGGTTTATTCTCACCAGAAACTATTAAGACCCCTCCCCGAACACACACACACACTCCTTAGAACATGAGATTATAGAGATCCAGGCACAATGATGCCTTGTTAAACCACGATAATATGTAAATCAGATTGAAAAGGCTTAGAAACCTGAGATCAGGAAAATACACAGTAAAAATCTGGGTTAAGTTGTTGACGCAGGAATAAATCATTGGTGAGATGAAGTAAATGTCCAAGTATCTAGACCTTGGCATCTCCATTTCCATAGTGTGAAACACAGGCCTTTCTGCACCAGAGTTACGTGGGCAGCAGGTATTAAACACCAGCATTGTTCAAGGCTTCTCAGGCCTCCTGTGACCTTCTCAAATTAATTCAGTGAAGACTTGATTTATACTGGATCAGAGTAACAGCCTGTTCCACCTCAACAGTCTGACTTTTGATCATTGTAATTCAATTTGTTTTCAATTCTACCTCCATAGACAGTACTGAGGTGTTGGTTCTGCCATGTATGGACAGTATTGAGGTGGTGATAACTCCTATATAGGCACAATATTGAGGTGATATCGGGGCTGTTTATGTATGTCAATGGCCATCCCGTGTGCCATGTTGTATTGAGATTGCTATGAGGAGGGGAGAGGATATGTGCTCTCAGGCTCATGTGATAAATTAGGAACCAGGTGACCAGAAACAGCAAGCTGTGCGAGTTGAGGCTGGGCCACTCTCAATAAATTGGATTTGTTTTCAACGGAAATACGTGTTGTCTGTGAACAGTGAACGGGAGCTGGGGCTGATTTCAACCCCTGTATTACCGTCAGGATTGCTGAGGCTAACTGCAGTGACCCCCCCCCCACTTTCCCCCAGCTGAGAGCAGAAAACTCGGCACAGACTTCAACAACAACTCGTATTTATATAGTCCCAGAGCGCTTGTCGGTGGTCGTGCACGCCTCCGAGCCGGGGGTGGTGGGAACGGGGACTTGACCATAGACGCGGTCGAACAGGAAGATCTTCAGGCGCGACCTGAAAATGGGGAAGGAAAGGGCAAGACGGAGGGACAGAGGAAGCGTGATCCCGAGTTTCAGGGCGCATAGCAGCGAGACGCGGAGGGGGTGGTCTCGGATGTGATTCTCAGCGTTGACGCTGACGGTCTCGAGAAATCTTAACCACACTCCTTGAGGACCCCTCACTGCCCCCTGGGCACAGAGGCCAATTGCAAGACTCTAACCGCACACTCTAACCGCAGTGTGGGAGCCAGTGCCGAACATAATATGGCTCAGGGCAGGCACGAGACGTGCGAGACCCAGGATGTTACAGACGATTGCTAGTAATAATAATAATAATAATAACGATCCTTTCATTTGATACTGCGCCTTTTCACGTCGTTGAGACGTCTCAAAGCGCTTCACAGAATATACCGTAAAGTGAACTGACTGTGTATTTTCCGGCAGCCAATTGCGCACAGCAGCGTCCCCACAAACAGCCGTGGATTGAGTGGCCAAATTACTATTTTTTTTTTGGAGAGATTGTTATCCTCGAATACGATCCGCCAATCGACTAATGACCGAGTTCCTCTTCACTGCTCGTTTCTGACTGTTACATGTCAGTGGCTGTTTTAATACTAATGATAACAAATAATAGTAATCCTTGGATTTGATAGAGCGGCTTATCACGTCCTGGCGACGTCTCAAAGCGCTTCACAGGATAGGCTGTAAAGTGACTGACCTCATCACTAAAGACTGGAATCACATCTGACCCTTGGCTGCTTGGCCAATGTCACGAGAAGTAAAATATTCCGCTTTTCAGCGCTGTAATCCCACACCTTCAATGGGCTCCCACAAGCTGCTCTCAAATACCACGGCCCGAAATTTGGCAGGGATCCCAGAATTCCGAGTATTTCCTGATTCCTTCGGGGCTCCAAGTTAGCCGTTTTCCAATGAGCTGTGCGATTGCTGTGCGAGATTCCGCTTTCTTGGAAGAAGAAGTGCTTATTTTGTGTCAGCCTCGCTTTTATTCATTTAAAGGGGATTGCGCTCACGTGCAGAGTAAAGAAGATTAAAATGCTTGTAACCCGGTCTGAAGCCTCAGTATTACAGACCAATGCAGTGCTGGGTGGGTGGGGGGTGGGGGTTATGTTTCTTTGTCGGAGGTGCCATTTTTCGGATGAGACATTATCATAGTAATAATAATCCTTGCATTTGATATAGCACTTTTCACATTATCTAGACGTCTCAAAGCACTTCACACATGTTGTAAAGTGAATTGACCGTATATTTATGGGCGAAACGCGGCAGCCAATTGCGCACAGCAGCGTCCCACAGACCGTCGTGGATTGAACCGAGGTCATTAAACTGAGGTCCTCTCTGCCTGTTGGCACTGTTCAAAAAGAGAAGGGAGTTTCTCTCTCCCGATGTCCTAGCAAACAATCCTCCACAGAAAATCGGTCACTCCCTCCATGGCTGTTTGTGGGACGCTGCTGCCGAGGTTTGTCCACAAAATAAACAGAAAACAGTACTTTACGGTATATGCTGTGAATCGCTTTGAAATTCTTGATGATATGACAAGGCTCTAAACCAAATGCAAGGATTATTATTGTTATTATTATTGATTTACGCTACCTGGTGACAGGCTCTCCATTTACATCTGGATGTAACTCTAGATTTACTCCAGATCTAAACCAGGCTCTACCTGAATCGACGTCATATTGTCTGTGGAGCTGTGACGGTGTGCACAGAACTCACACGGCAGGACACAAGGTCAGTGAGTCTCGGTCAGCTGTTTGACTGTAGGAGACATCACACCAAGTGCAATCCCTTCCTCTCCTGATGTACACACTCTTCAGAGGGGGAAGAGGTTGCTGAATAGTCATCAGAGAGTGACTGAATTATTATAATCCTTGCATTTGCATTCGATATGGAGCCTTTATTACGTTTTTGAGACATCTCAAAGCGCTCCACAGAATATATTGTAAAGTGAAAGGCAAATTACCGCAGCTGCTGGAAATCTGAAATAAAGACAGAAGTGGCTGGGACTACTCCAGCTGGTCAGGCAGCACCTATGGAGAGAGGAAAATGAGTTAACGTTTCCGGTCGTTGACTTTCGTCAGAACGGATATTGTAAAGTGAATCGACTGTATGTTTTGTGGGTGAAACGCGGCAGCCAATTTTGTGCACAGCTGCAAACAGTCGTGGATTGAGCGACCGAAATTATTATATCCCCCCCTTCCCGACCCCAGGAAAGCGAGTCCGAGATATGATAAACAAAGGGTGTCTGGGAGAGGGCAGGAGTGATGAACGTTCCTGAACTCGGTGTCGTTGCCTGGAAATCCCATCGGGGGTTTCTCCTGTGATTCATCCTGGGGCAGCCTGTGAGCTGCAGCAAAGTCCTCAACACTGCTACACCTCGCCTTGTCCCTCATCGGAGGCTATCGATGGCAGGACTTGTGCCTATTGTTAGAGGGCTAGGGACTAGGGTCTCCATCTTAATACATACTGTAACAGTGCGGAGGCCGTTGCTTGTTAACCTGAATTTAGCTCTCCACGCTCTTGCTCTGCCCTACCTCTGTGACCACCCAAAACCTTACCAACAACCTGCCCGCTTCCTGCTCCATGTCCTGGCCTCCTGCCCGCTCCACCATCAGAGATCAGGCCTTCAGCCCTTCTGCTCCGACCCTCTAGAACTCCCATCACACAGCCTCCCTGCTCGCCCAGCCTTTCCTTGCATGCTTCAAGGCCTGTTTCAAGACCTTCCTCTTCAACTGCGCCTTCGTTCATATCCCCCCCCTCCCCCCCGTCCCACCACCACCCCAGCCCCCCCCCCACCCTCCACCACTCTTGACTCAGGTGCTAACCCTTCAGTGTCCAACGCCTTGGGACATTCTCCTGACGTGAAAGGGTGCTCACATGAACCCAGTCGGTCGTTGCTGTTGAACCCAGTCAGCGGGCACTGACCTGACAATGTTTTGTTGCAGATTTTCAAGGTCGGACGAGCTCTCGAGGCACAGGCGCTCGCACTCTGGAATCAAGCCTTATCAGTGTTCCATATGTGAGAAGAAATTCGCCCGGAGCGACCACCTGTCCAAGCACATCAAAGTGCACCGGTTCCCAAGAACCAGCAGAACCATCAGACCCGTGAACTAGCTGTCTGTCACCGGCACTTTCTGTTTGTGTGTTTTTTTTATATATATATATACAAATGTATATAGAAATATACAAAAAGAGATTTTTTTTCTTTTATAAATTATTGCTTCGCGGCAACCGTGTGAATCTCATCGCCACCCGAGCCGTGCTTCAGTGACGAACTCTTATCAGCCATCAACAGTGTTCATCTTCCTCCCTGTCATGAGGGAACTTGAGACGTGATGTCTAAGGAAGCCGAGTGGAGGTGGATTTTGCCGCTCCACCCTCCCCAAGTCCCCATCTCCCAGTGTCATGAACCCCCGACAAGCTGCCCCCATCAACCTGCATTACCTTCTCAGTGAGTTTACGCACACCGACTGTCATCACATCGGGATCTTGTTATTGTAAACCTATTTTCCACGTCGGGCCTTTGGAATCCTATAGTGTCCTCACCTCAGACCAGAGCAGTGTGACTGCGCTGTTTATAACGTCATCCGCTTCCAGGATCCGGACTAAAACCTACCACCAAAATGTTTGGAGAGTATAAACTGGGCAGCAGGTGTTCCTTTTTTGATGTACCAAAAATAAGTGACTTGATTGTGAAGAATGACAGCTTCTGTGAACTTGCACAACCTCCGTCCGTGGTCCAGCGAGGTCATGGAGACGAGGGATCTTCCGTCCCAGAGCTTCTCGGGAAAGCCCAGTGTGACCGGCTGCGGAGATTCGGAAATTTTGTGACATCCTAATCGGTGGCTCTTTGAGAAGCATTGTTTAAATCAGGCTCCAGACAGCAATTTGGTCTAAGTCTGGGCTGCCTTCAATAGCCATGTTCCTCACTAACCGTGCCCTCCACTAGCGTGTTCCCCACATGTTCCCCACATGTTCCCCATTAGCCATGTAACCCCCTACCCCCCCACCTAATACCAAGCAGGACGCTCCCTGGATTGCGAGCAGATTGGCAATGCAAAAGTGTTCCTTATCCCAGGATCAATTAGACCTGGGAATGATCAAGAAAAAGTTTGGGATCAAGTTGGGAAGGTTCTGAACCTTCAATTCCTCCCATTATTGTTGAGGAGCGGCCGGAGAAAGTCGCTTTAAAAGTAGATTTATTTTTAATATATAAATATATATATACATAGACGGGTCTGAACCAGCAGGGAAACCCGGAGGAAATGTTACGGACTTGCATGTGATGCATTGTATTTTCGTTGTGGAAAGAAAGGCACTTCTCTCAGGACTCAAACCGAAGTCAGTGTAATGTGAAGCCCAATGGCATTTACAGGAACCTAACCTAAGCCTTTTATAATTATGCTTGGTTGAGGATTTTAAATGCTTTTTGGCCGCTGAATGTAAATCAGAACGATAAACGTTTGTGGTGTTAAGAGTCTATTCCTTTTCTACTTTGGTGTCTTACGCCACGGTGGGTAAAATTCCGCCCAAGTCTCGATTTACTCTCTCGAAGGAGCGTTGCAGAGTGCGCATGTTTCGGCAAATTGTTTTTTTTTAAAAAGCTCTGAAAGCCCGTTTTCTGTCGTATTTTACAGAAAGTCGGCTTTAAAGTTAAAGTCAGGGTTTAGGAATTTGGTCAAATTCTGGACGCTCTGTAACTCAGGTGGTATTTCTATCCCAGTGGTGAACACAGTTTTGATTGTAATCATCCGGAACATGAGCCTCAGAATTCTTGCCATAATTCCCAAACCCAGCTCTGCCCTGCCCACACCTCCTCCCACACACACACACACTACAATTAGGTTACAACCAATTGAGTTTCACCCTAGTACTGTAAACCCTACGTTTTCTAACTGTTTGATCGATAAGCATATTGATTTGTAGACGAGAAATTGATCATACGTAAATTTCACATCATTCGCCCACAAAATGTACAGTCAACTCACTTCGCAGTATATTCTGCAAAGCGCTTTAAGATGGCTCAAATGCAAGGATAATTAATATAATTATTATTAGAGATACAATGCAACAAAATCACTTTTTAGCCCTTGTCCAGTGATAGATCCACAAGATAACAAAGTAATCCTCAACCACATCACTACAGATCTGAAGTAAAACATCAACATGTCTTTTAATGACTAATTTATACCTTTACAGAACGGAAATATGTATGTGGTGGTATCCTTATTCTGACACGATGCATTATTTTCTAATGTAACATGTGGTCTTACATGAACAGGCCTGTCTTGCATCCTATGAATGCATGTGAATAACCTGTACCGATATACAAAGTATCTTTTATTAACCTAAAGAAAATCTCTGTGATTATGTAAATTTCAGCAGTGAAACTGTAAAGCAAATGTACATATCTCTCAAAGCAAATCTGTATATTTTCTTTGTTCTATATGAAAAAAAATATATGTGCTTTACAAAAATAACATTAAATCGAGAATTTAAGAGACGCTAAACCTCTTTTTGTTGGCACGAGGTGGCAGTGGATTGGCATAACAGATTGGGGCAGTAAAGCGGGAGTGCGCTTGCTTGGGTTGGTGAACTTTGGTTAGCGCTAAAGGGGTCTTAGATGCAAGGGCACAATTATACAAACAAGGGCAGCCGAGCCCCATCCAGAGCTATTTGTGGGGGACTGTGTTGAGTTGGGGAGTCTTTGTGAATCACAAAATATACAGTCACTCCACTTTACAGTAGTACATCCTGTGAAGTGCTTTGAGAATTCTCAACAACGTAGTAAGGTGCCAGATCAAATGCAAGGATTATTACAATTATTGTCAGCTCAGAACCCCGGGAGGGGGGGATAAAAAATGTCCCTGCGAGATCGTGTCCCTCCTGAATCAATAGGGACAAAAAGGTATATTAAAAGCAGGAAAAGTAGCAGCAGGTATTGAGCAGATCTAGAGAATGAGTTATAAAATTCGAGCCCATATTGCAGGGCAGGGGCTCCAGTTTAACGTGCTGCTTTTGGAGATCCACATGATCTCGGTATGAATTACACCCAGTATGAATTACAGGGTCAGCAAATGAGAAACACATGGAGTATCTGCTGCTGGACGGCCAGTGTTAGGTCACAAACCTCAAGCAGATTAGGCTGCCTTTGCAAACCGGCTCAAACCTCTGTCCCGGCCATTGAGTTGCAATCAAGACAGGACGCCCAAGTTATAAGACGCCCAAGTGATAAGGACTTTCTTACGCTCCCTTTCCATTATGCGAAATAACAATAATGATCTTTGTATTTGATTTAGAGCCTTATCACGTCGCTGCGACGTCTCGATCCGCTTCACAGGATATATTATAAAGTGGAGTTACTCTGGATTTTGTGGGTATAATCCCGCAGCCAATTGCACACCTCAATGTCCCACAAACAGCCATGGAGCGAGTGACCAAATTTTATTTGGGGGATTGTCGGCCAGGACAGTGGGAGAGGGAAACTCCCTTCTTTTCTCAAATAGTGGCACGGGATCTTTAATGTCCTCCTGAACAGGCAGACGGGTCCTCGGTTTAACATCTCACACCAAGGATCATCAACCAAGATACAGGAGACAGCGCAGTGCACACAGGAGCGCTGACCTACATACTGCTGACCTGAAGAACCTTCCTTACCTACTTTACGCACTCGAATTTGCCTGAATCTCTTCCGCCTCTTGCTTTCAAAATTGGGTTCTCTCTATTTATAACACGAGTGTTTCCAGGTATCAAGTATCTGTGTAAGGATAAAAGAACAAGACCGGGGAAAAATGCCAAACTATCGCCATGCTCAAAATTGTCAGTGGATTCAGATTTCACCGGGCAGAGCAATGAAGCAGGATGAAAGCTTGAATCAAAAACATGAATCAAGTCTAAATGTTACTGTTAGGCTCAGGATAAAACATTTCAATGGCATTGACCTTTTCTAAAGGGATGGGTTAAAGAGACTGGGCTCCTGTTTTATTGATATTAGGAAATGTATTAGTCTCTATAAACCATATTGATTTTTGCAGTGAGTTTACGTGCCGAGATTGCACAGGTCCCATTTAACTAACTGAGAGGACAAACAGGATGAAACTCCGCACTGCTGAGGAAGCAATTTCTCTGATTGTTAGCAAGGTTTCTGATGTTAATCAGTGTAACCTGCTGTATCTGCGCACTGTCATGTCTGAGGAAATGGACTGAGGTCACTTTGTCTTGAAGCTGTTTTGGAGTTGGAATTGTTTAACATTGATCTATATCAGACTGGTTTCAGCGTGACTTTAATGTAAGTTAATCTGACTACACTTGAATTGAATCTGCTTCGGCAAGGACCGAAGCATAGGGTTCAGTGCCCTTAGGCTGAGAAGGAAAATCAGACATGTTTCCTGCATCCATCATTATCCACTGTAGGAATGTTTGAGCGTGGAACCAACCAGGCATTGGTATGATCTCTTCTCACCCTATATTAAACTCTATTGAAAACTCTCTCTCTTTAGGCTCAGAAGTGGAGAATAGTTGCTTGGGTAAAGGATGGAGTTATTTAGCAGATGCCCTAGAATTGATACCCTTCATCTGGATTAGAAGGAAATGAAGACGCAGTAAATAATCGGGTGCATTGACATGTTGTATATAATAATTCTTGCATTTGACATAGCGTGCCGTAGAGACATCTCAAGCGTTTACAGGATATATTGTAAAGTGGATTGATTAGATATTTTGTGGCCGAATCATATAAGGCCTGATACAGACATAAGGCTTAGACAGAAAGCAGCTAACCTCCTGAGCTGTCAGGATCCATAATCGCAGAGCAGACTGAGCAAGAGAGAGTGCAATGGGGTAGCGTGAAAGGTCAGATGATCAAACATTTCCTGACTGAAGTGCATCCATCATCCGGTATACGTTTAACAACCCGCTCTGAGGGATGGGGGGTGATGGGGACACGGAGCCTGGTGCAGGAGCTGCAGGGTTCTGGATGATCTGCAGCTTGTGGAGGGAAGAGTTGGGGAGTCCAACAAGCAGGGAGTAGGCATAGTCGAGACACACAAGTAAACCTTTTAAATTTCCTTCCCCTCTAACCTCTCTCCTAACGTGTCGACACATGGACACAAGCACA